GCGGCGACGACCTCGGGTTCCAGGCCTCGGCGGTCAAGGAGTGCCACGCCTCGACCCAGACGCCGCTCATGTTGCGCCACTTCGACGGTGTCGACGGCCACGCGATGGACAAGGCGGATGAGTGGGACTTCGAGCAGGAGTACTTCCCTGACCTTCCTCCTGTCGGTCTTCGGGGTGCTGGGGAGGGTCTTGACGGTCTTCATGGTGCTGGGGGTCTTCGGGGCGCTTGGGATCCTCCTGGCGATCTTCGTGATGCTGGGGATCTCCCTGACGGTCCCTGGGATGCTGAGGATCTTCGTGGTGGCGTTGATCTTCCTGACGGTTCTCACGGCGATGGGGAGCCTTGCCGTGCTGGCGATCTTCCGGACGATCTTCGGGGTGCTGGGGATCTTCGTGGTGATCTTCGTGGTGCGGGGGTTCTTCAGGGCACGGGCGATCTTCCTGACGATCTTCGTGGTGCTGGTGCTATTCCTGGCGGTCCTCGTGATGCTGGGGATCTTCCTGCCGACCCTCGCGGAGGGTGTGGTCTTCCTGACGATCTTCAGAGCGCTGGGGATTGCCGCGGTCTTCGTGATGCTAGGGATCTTCCAGACGATCCTTGTGGTGGGCGTGGTCTTCCTGACGTTCTTCAGGGCGCTGGGGATCGTCCTGGCGGTCCTCGTGGTGCTGGGGATCTTCCTGACGATCCTCGTGGTGAGGGTGATCTTCCTGACGATCTTCGCCGTGCTGGGGATCTTCCTGGCGATCTTCGTGATGCGGGGGACCCTCTTCCTGCTGGCCTTCCCGGTGGCGGAGACCTCCCTGGTGTTTTACGTGGTGCTGGGGATCTTCCTGACAAACTTCGTGGTGCTGGGGGTCTGCCTGGTGCTCCTCGGGGTGCTGTCGATCTTTCTGACGATATTCCTGAAGCTGGGGACCCTGTGGATGATTTTCGTGGTGCGGTCGATCCGTCTGCTGCTCATGGTGCAGGTTACCCTCCTGTGGACGACCTCCCTGCCGATATCTTGGCTATCATGGCTGAGGCCGATGCGTTCGTTCCAAACGAGCTGCTGCAGAAGTACCACCCGAACCTCACGGAGGAGGCTGTGAGGTGCAAGGTGGATATGCTCATGCGACCCGGGGGCCATTACGACGATAAGGCCTACGATGAGCTGATGCGCAATGTGTTGGGCAAAGTTTAGGGTACGATGGGTTGTGGGCCGTTGTGCTGTCGGACGTTATCCTGTCGGGGAGGAGCGTCGTAACGGCAGCGTCGTGGGCTTCAGCACGGAGTATGAGTATTTTGTGATTGTGATCTCTGAAGCTGAGTGTGGGTAGGGAGGGAGTGGCTTCGGTGGTCTGGCCCTTTTTCGGGTCGGCACGGCCAGGTGGGTGCCTCGTGGGGGCGCCCCTGGTGATGCTGCACACCTCCGCGAACGGGACTCAGGGGAGGGTGCTTCGGTGGTCTGGCCCTTTTGGGGGTCGGCACGGCCAGGTGGGTGCCCCGTGCGGGTGCCCCTGGTGACGCCCCACACCCTGGCACACGGACGGACGGGGCTCGCTGCGGGCTCTGCGGGGAGGGGAAAAAAAAACTCCTCCTCCGATGGCGAGAGATGTCGTCGACGGCCCCCCTCCCCTGGGCCTGTCGGCCCCGGAGGGGTGATCAGACTAGACGGCCACGTGGCCGTTTCCACCGGTTCTAAGGAGATATTTTATGTAAAAGTAAACTTAAATCGGGCCTGTCCCTCTACAGGAGGAATATTCAAAAGAGTCAACAAATAGTCAGGGGACGATTGTTTCGAGTATTTTTTACCATCCATGGGTACTTTTTTGAATACTTCTTATTTTGCTCCCAAAATCCGCCTGTAAGAGGACGTGCCCGACCTAAAATTAGACAGACAGAGCGAGGAAGGGGGGAGAAAAGGAGAGACCAACATAACTTTCTCCGTCTCTGCGGCCGCCCGCGCCCGGAGCGTCTCGCCAGTGCCGGCCCACGCGCCTGCGTCCGCCAGCGCTGGCGATCAAGGAAGTGCCAGTGCAGGTCGCCGGCTGGGGGCGCGGAGGTGATAATCAGCTGCTGTTGCTGCTGCCTCCTTCGTATCCTGCTTGGGTGCATGGTCTGCATGAGCTCAGGGGATGTCCAAGCAGTCCAAAGCAGTCCCCCTTTCTCGCTCCTCCGTCCCTCGTCTGGTCCCTCCTCTCCATGCCTTTACGCATCCGCTTGCCCGGCTCATTCCTCCTGCTGTTGGTGGTGCTCTTCCTCCTCTTCGTCATCTTCCTGCTCCTCCTCCCATTCTCTGACTTCTCCACCTCCCCCTTCTCTGACTCCTGCAGCTGCTGCTGCTGCTGCTGCTGCTCCCTTTTCTCTCTCCCTCTCTCTCTCTCGTTTTTTTGTGTGTTATCATTATTTGTTGTTCTCTCTTTCTCTCTCTCTATATCCCCCGTTTTCCTTCTCTCACATCCTCTCTCTCCCTCTCATTGTCTGAGCCTTTCACTCTCTCACGCTCTCTCTCTCTCTCTCCCTCTCTCTCTCTCTTTGTTTGGTTTCTCTATTTCTCTGTCCCCCTCTGTCTTTCTTTCTCCCGCCCTCCCCCTCTCTCTCACTGTTTTTGCTCAACGCATTCTCTCTCTATCTCTCTCTCTCTATGTACTCTTCTCCCTTCCGCCCCCTTCTCTCCTTCTATTTCTCCCTCTCCCTGTCTATCCCCCTCCGTCCGTTTTCTTCTCTCTGCCTCCTCCTCATTATCCTCCTCCTCCTCCTTCCCCTCTGCCCCCCCTTCCTTCTCTCCTCCTCCTCCTCCTCCTCCTCCTCTAACCCTCCTCCTCCCCCTTTGCCTCCCTTCCTCCAGCCATCCTCCTCCCACCCTCTTCCTCCCTCTGCCTCTCGTTCTCCAGCCCTCCCCCTTGCTGTCCCCCCCTCTCCCTCCCGCTCTACTTCCTTTCCACAGTGACACATTATGAATACTACTCACCTCTCCCCCCCGAGTATGTCCCGAGAGTGTTCGCCCACCGTTCGTGTCTGGTTTTTGACGCAGGATTTATGCGAATTGGCTTTTCATATGGTTAGTGTTGCAGTCCGATCGTTTCTCCAGTTTTTCAGACGTGGTGCTCTCTCTGCAGCGTGGGCCTCATTTTCGGATCGGCGCTGTGCTCCCGTCGTTCAGAATGGCACTCCCACCCCAGGGTGGGCCACTTTTCTGGATCCCACAGGTCACGGGTCCCACAGGTCTCGTAGGTCTCGCAGGCACCACAGGTTCTACAGGATCTACAGGACCTCCGTGCAGAACGATCTGCTGGCCGCGTCTTCTTTGTCGGGAAAGGGCGGTCGGGGGGGAGCCAAACCTCACCCCCGAGTTTCTAGGAGATGGATTGGCCGCGAGCCCGTTTGGAATTCGTACTCATGATTGCACAGGCGCCGCGTGCTGGATCGTTGATGTCGCCTTCGACTTCCACCTCACCACTGTGAGGCCGAGCTCGTTGTGCCGCACTGCCTCCTGCATTTCAGCGCCAAGTACCATGCCTACTACATCTTCGTCGTCGTCTCCCCATCGGTCCCCAACATCTGCTCTCCATGCACGTTGCTTTGATCCTGCTCATGAGGCCGTCGCCGATCACGCACGTTTGGCTGATGACCGGCTACTCCCACACCTGCCCCCACTGCCAGTCATGATCCTCCTGCCAGGCAGCGATCGTCTACAGGACGTCATCGCGAAGGACGTCCCGCTGCAGATCCACGCGCGCAACCTGTTGCACCGCGTCGTCGCCCCTACGGCCCGTACTTCCACGCGGTCGGCCGCGAGCATGGCCGAGGTGCTTGTCCTTGCCTCCCTCGCTCCACGTCGAGCCCATCCAGCCCCTTCCAGAGCGGCTTCTATATCGTGGAATGGAACACCCAGGCGCTGTTCGCCGCGGACCCCCTCCAGCACAGGCAGAAGTCGGAGTACGTGCGCAATCTCATGAAATCGCACGACATCGTGCTCTGGACGGAAACAAATGGGACTCGGGAGCAACGCCGTCTGGGCTAACCCCGTGGGCTGCCGGTCGTGGTGGGAGCCTGACCCGACCACCGCGTCGGCGGGCGTCGGCATCACAGTGCGCCAATCCTTTCTCGACCGTTTCAACCACCCGCCAAAATGGATCCAGATCATTCCGTGCCGCACCGCCGTCTTACGACTCCGTGGTGATGCGGGAGCACTGGGCATCTATGTAGTTTATGTTCACACTGGCACGGAGGTCACGGCGCACGACATACGAGGCGCTGCTTTAGACTCTCTCGGCAGGACGCCCTCTTTCGCGGAGCTCCGCGACGCACTGCGGGTTCGGCTTGCCGGCATCTCCA